TGTCTATTCAGGTCAAGGTCATCAGGGATGTGCTGGTACACATTTAATAGCTCTCTGGTGAGGGGAGAGGGGGGAAAAATATGCACACTTTTAAACTTAATCTGGGGTCAGCTAGGTGGTGCAGTGGATAGAGTGCTTTACCTCAAGTCGGAAAGACCTGAGTTCACATCTGGCCTCAGACACTTACTAGCTGTGTGACCCTGGGCAAGTCACTTCACCCTGTTTGCCTCAGTTCCTCATCTGTAAAATGAGCTGGAGGAGGAAATGGCAAACCACTCCAGTATTTTTGCCGAGAAAACTCCAAATGGGGTCACGAAGAGTCAGATATGACTGAAACAACACAACAACAAAACTTAATCTCTATTATTAGCTCTTTCTTAAGTCTACGCAATTAACAAAACAATAAGCCAAGCCTTGATTTGTGGATATTGTTGATTTCTGAAGGGCAAACACTCACACTGAAACTTTCACGATGAGCTCTCACAGGCCAGTTAGAACTGGCTTCAGAACTCCCCTGTTTATACACCATTTTTAGGTCTGTGTTGAATCAGGATTCTAAGATTATTTATTTTGTTGTTGTGCCCCCAGAGCTTGGCATTACTATAAAGGTCTATGGGTAGTCTAGATACCACAACCGTGAGTGAAAATGAGAAACCTTGCTGTCTATAGGCAGAACAATGAAAGGCACTTTCTCCACTTGCTATAATCAATTTTCCTGTTAATAGGTTACTTTTCCCCTCTCCAAGATATTCTAAACCACAGCTTGGTCGCTGAGCCCCAGTAACTCAAATTTGTAAATACGTTCATTAATCTCCCAACTTTGTATACCTTCATTCATCTCCTAACTTTGTACTGCTCTCATTTGGTTTTTTTTTTTTTTGTCTTCTCAAAAGATTATAAAAGTATTCAGCCTTTGGCAGTTCAAAGAAGAGCCTCTTTATGGAATGGGGACAGTCTCCTCTTTGAATTTTTTTTTCCTTTATGGCTGAAAAAAATAAAGAAATGTGTTGATTAAGTAAGAATTCACAAGTATTAGGTTAGTCCTTTGACTAGCACTCTCATTGTATTTTCCCAGAAATCTAGAGATAGGTGGGACAGATTATTATTTTCACCATATGACTCTCACCCCCATTTTAATTAAAGATGAAATAACAAATGAAGCAGCTAGGTGGCACAGTGGTTAGAGCACCAGCCCTGGAATCCAGAAGACCTGAGTTCAAATCAGATCTCAGACCAGACACTTGACACTTATTAGCTGTGTGACTCTGGGCAAGTCACTTAATGCTAATTGCCTCGCAAAGAAAAAAAAAGATGAACTAGTAGAGACTTAGAGAGATTAAGTAAATTTGCTCATGGTTGATAGCTACTAAGGATTAGAGGCTACGTTTGAACTCAGATGTACTCCTGATTTTGTATTATAGGAACAGAAATCTAGAAGTAGAAGGAAACTCAGATACTGTCTAATCCAACACCCTGGCTTTATAGATGTGGAAAATGAGGCCCAAGATGGTTAAAGTGACTTGCCCAAGGTTACCCAACCCCCACACTCAAATTTGAGGATCAATTTTTTTTTCTGTTTGTTTGTTTTTGCACACAGTGATAAGAAAGGCTTATCCAAGTGGATAAAAAGCAGTTCTTCAAGTTGGGGGAAAGCCTGAATTCAGCTCCTGACACCTACTTGCTGTGTGACCACCGTCACATTTTGTTCATTCGTTTTCAGTCATGTCTGACTCTTTGTGAACCCATTTGAGATTTTCTTGGCAAAGACACTGGAGAGGTTTGCCATTTCCTTCTTCAGTTCATTTTACAGATGAGGAAACAGAGGCAAACAGGGTAAAGTGACTTACCCAGGGTCACACAACTAGTAAGTGTCTGCGGCCAGATTTGAACTCAAGAAGATGAGTCTTCCTGATTCTAGTCCCAGCTCTCTATCCGCTGTGCCACCTACCTGCCCTTAACCTCAAAGCATCCCAAGCAACTTCCTAAGATGCAGTTATTACAATTACGTAAGTGAAGACAACTTTCAAAGGGAACATAACTCACACCAAAAAAATTGGACAATATTGTTACTAATTTATGAAGTGTACACCTGCCCTTCCTTTTAACATCGGGGAAAACTAGCCAAGTGTGTCTTTCAAGCTGTTTCATTTAATTGTGTTCAGGGCTGGACACTGTGAGAGTTCAAATGAGGGTATGACGGGAGTTTGTGGTGACAGGCTGAAACAAAGTTTTTGATTACTTTTTTTAAGAAAAGGAAACCGGTTTATAGAGGCAAAGACTTGTCCAATGTCATTGAGCAAGCTAGTCTGCATTAGAAGCCAGCTTACCTCGACTCACAGTCCAGTGCTCGTTCTCCCACATAGCATTGTTTCCTTTAAAAAGGAAAAAAAAAAGATCATTTCAGCAGGTGTAAGCCACAAGCCACAGGCCTCCTGCTTCCTCCGCTCTTTTCCTGCTGCGGCTGTGGGAGCCCTCCATGGGCTCGGCCACATTTGTGACACTTCCTTTCCCTGGTGGGGATTGTCTTGACGAGGGAATGAAGTAAGCCCCACAGTTTTAATAAAGGCTCCCACTTCCTTTAACCAAAGGGGAAAAAAGCTGCCCCTCCTCCACCAGCTGCTATATATAGATCCCATTTCAGTCTCTGATCTGGGGGACCCTGCTTGTCCCAGTGTTCTCAGGCCTGTGCTGCTAATTGGATTTGAACTTGGCTCAGCAATGACTAAGATCAGGTGTAGACAGTGGGGAAGGACGAGGGGAAGGAGCCCCTGCCTTCTGCCCATTGTTTTGTAAAAGCAAAGAGTCCAGACAAGCACCAATGCATTAAAAAGCTGAGTTAAGTCTGAGTCCCGGACAGGGCAGGCAGCTTCTCAAGTGGGGTGGGGATAGAGAGGGGACTGGCCTGGGGCTCAGGAGACAGGCATACAGACTCACTGTACTCTGCCCCTCACCAGCTCTGTGTCACTTGGAGCTCAGAGTTGAAGGGAATCCCAGAAGTCTTCTAGACAACATCAGTTAATCAACAATTGTGTTTATTAAGCAAGCACCTACTTTGTGCTAGGCACTGTTGTCCTTGTTTGTCCTTTATTCCCTTTTTTTCTTTTTTTAAAAAAATTTTATTAATTTATTTTGATTTATCAATAATCACTTCCATGTGCTTTTGAGTTGAAAATTTTTCTCCCCTTCCTACCCCCACCCTCCCCAAGATGGTGCACAATCTGATATATATGTTTTACATTTACATTCCTATTAAACATATTTTCACATTCGTGAAGTTGTAAGTACAAATTAAAACCAATAGGAGGAACCATCAGAAAGATGAAACAAAACTCAACAGAAGGTAAAAATAAGTGATAGTGACTCGACTTCCACAGTTCTTTCTTTGGATGTGGACAGCATTTTTCATCCCGAGGCCTCTGGAGATGTCTTAGATCCTCATAATGCTGAGAAAGGTTCAGTTGAACAATCTTAGACATTGCATAACGTGGCTGTTACTGTGTACAATGTTCTCCTGGTTCTGCTCACTTTACTCAGCATCAGACCATATAAGTCTTTCCAGGTTTTTCTGAGGTCAGCCTGTTCATCATTTCTTATAGCACAATAGTATTCCATTACATTCATAAACCACAACTAGCTCGGCCGTTCCCCAATTGATGGGCATCCTCTCAATTTCCAATTCTTTGCCACCACAAAAAGAGCTGCTATGAATATTTTTGTACTTGTGGGTCCTTTGCCATTTGTTTGATCTCTTTGGGATGTAGCCCTAGAAGCGTTGTTGCTGGATCAAAGGGTATGCACATTTTTGTAGCCCTTTGGGCATAGTTCCAAATTGTTATCCAAAATGGTTGGATCATTTCGTTTGTCCTTTATTCTCAAAGAAGACTGATGACATCAGGAAGGTGATGTCTTGATTTGCAAGTGAATTGGATGTAAGTGAGGGAGGACTATGGGAAATCACCAGCCTCACTCTGTCCTCCAGAGCCTTCTGGGTACAGGGGCCAGACATAGATTAGGATGACTGGAGAAAGCACAGGATGATGCAGGAGAGTAGGCCTTTTTTAGCTAAGGTCTTTCCCAGGCCTAGGTATGGGGGATACAAGTACACATCTCTGACAGGTGGCCATCCAGGCTGCTCCTGAAGACCTCCAGGGAAGCAGAAAGCCCACTTAGTCCCAAGACAGACTAGTTATTTTACTTTTGAATAGTTCTAATTGTTAGAAAGTTTGTCCTTACCAAATCTGTGAAGGGTGGGGGTAATCGTGCTGGAGTGCATGTTCTGGGTAGGTGGCTAGAGGAGTGCTGTGAGGGTCAAATGAGATAATGAGCATGGAAAGCACTTTGAAAAGGATAAGGCACTGAAAAAATGAGTGGGATTCTTATTAGTCTCAAGTCCCTTTTCTCACAATTGTGGAAAGAACACTGAACTTGGAATCCAAAGACCAGGTTCTATACTTCCTACCTATGGTGACCCTAGGCAAACTTTCCTAGTCTGAGTCTCTATTTTTTTTTATCTGTAAAATGGGGATAGTGATACCTCTACAATGATGGAAGGGGAGGGATTTCTACATACTATAAAATGCAATATTATGAGTCATCATTGCTGTTATTTTACCTTCCCCAAGATAGGAGGTTTAATGCTCTAAGAAAATAAGGCATATTATAAGGAGGATTTCAAAAACATTAGGGGAAATTAAATTTTTTTAAAAAAAATTAACCATCCTGTTTTTTTATTATCAGCTCTTTAATCTCCCCAGGACAGTGAATCAAAGGAAGATGAGGTCTGAAGTTTCTCACTGCCTTCTCCCTTAACAAATATAGCCCAGGTGCATGGAGCTATGGAAGCACTCTGTGTATCTGAAGACTCAGGTTTGCCCGATTAGCAGATCTCCCTGCCTCTGGGATGGCTGACCTGGTAAAAGTTCTAACTGCAATGGCAGATCCCACTTTAGAATTTGTGGGCAGTAGCTGATGGTATGTGCTATTTTTTTTCTCCCCCCCAGGATAAGCAGCCATGGAGAAAGCACCTGGAGGAGAAATAAAGGGATGGGTCCAGCAGATCAAAACCTTATCAGTCTTTCTTCGTGGAAAGCAGTAAGAATTGGAACATGGGGGAAGAGAAGAAACTAATGACATGGGATATAGCTGTCTTTGCTTTGTCTAGGAGAGTAGAAGTGTTTCCAAGATGCCTTTTCAACCAGCAAGGGCCATGCCTTTGGCCACTTGGATTTCATAGGCTTCAGTCTCTCATGTGCCCAGCTCATTTGTCAATCATACTGAGCAACTCTGAGGAGACATACAGTGAGTTGGTGCCAGAGATGGAGGCTGGTACTGTTCGAAGAAAAGTAGGTCTGGCATCAGGAGACATTGGTTCACGTCCTGGCTCAGCCACTAATTCGCCATGACAGTAATTTTTTTCTGGGTTTCATTTTTCAGATCAGAGAGTTGGCCTACCTAACTGAAGTACCTCCAAAGGCCCTCCCAGCTCTGACATTGTAACTTCTAAGGTCCCTTCCAGCTCTGGCATTCTATAGTCTAAGGATCCTTCCAGCTCTGATATTTTCTATTTCTATGACTTACATAAAGAGAAAGAAGCCAGTTGCTTGGTGGGCTCCAGGATAAGATTCTAGGTATATTATTGTCAGGGTAGCTAGATGGTGCAGTGGATAGAGCGCTAGCCCCAGAGGCAGGAAGACCTGAATTCAAATTTAGCCTTAGACAGTTAGTAACTGTGTGACCCTGGACAAGTCACTTTATCTGTTTACCTCAGTTCCTCATCTGTAAAATGAGCTGGAGAAGGAAATGACAAACCACTCCAGTATCTTTGCTAAGAAAACAGCAAATGGGGTCACTAAGAGCCAGACGTGACTGAACAACAACAACCTGTATTATTACAATGTTAGTTCCTTCAGTCTGATGTATATTATTTGTCACTAATGCGACCTATATAACACCATCTTCTTTTTTATGTAATACATTTTAAATGATATTTTTGCTTTTATATGGAGTTCACTTACTAATATGTTCCTCCCTACTCCTTTAACCATGAAACCAACCCTTTATTAAAGAACAATCCCTAGGCATTTAAAGAGCATGCATTTGATTCACCAAGTACCCTCATTTCTTCTTTCTTCCCTGACCCCAAGTATGAATTCTTTAAAGTTCACTGTCTCCACATATTTGTTTCCCAGGCAACACGGCAATCTTAATTAAGCTACCCCAGAAAATGCCCAGGATACCTGGCAAAGGGCCAGAGGGCTCTGGTCACTGCTGACCTTTCCCTCTGGCTTTCAGGAAGTTTGAGGTCACAAGGCCTCTGTTTTTCCCCTGAGGCAATTGGAGCGAAGTGCTTGTCCAGAGTCACACAGTTAATGAGTGTTATCTGTCTGAGGCTGGATTTGAACTCAAATCCTCCTGACTCCAGGGCTGGCACTCTATCCACTGCACCCCCTAGCTGTCCCACAAAGCCTCTTTTCTGTCTTTGAGAGCACCCAACCACCACCTTAAACACAAAGAAATTCAGGCAGATGGCTTCTTTAGATCCTCAAATTCTCCTGACTCCAACAATTTCAAAAGCTGTTTTAAAAATTTAAAGGAAAGAATTCCTAACAGTTGGAGCTGTTCTAAAGTGGAATGGGTTGCTTCCTGAGGTGGTGAATTCCTCATCATTGGAGATCTTCAGGCTGAGGCTGCATGGCTAATTGTGAGGTATATTGTATAGGGAATTGTTGTTCAGGTCGAAGAGGGCCAGATGGCTTCTGCAGTCCCAAGGACAAGATTCAGGAAGTGGGTGTCTTTAGTGCTTGATTTACTTCCCTGCATTTACATGTGATAATGAGCTTTCTACACATACGACCAAGTTCAAGGTTGAAATATTTTGGGTTTTTTTTTCTTCCCCTAAAAAGGCAGCATAGATGGTATCGTCAAACAGGTATTAAATTTGGCATCAGGAGACCAAGGTTTGAGTTCTGACTAAAAGGCTTAACTGCTTGTATGACCTTGGACAAGTCACTTAATCTCTGTGTCAAGTTTTTCTTAAGGATTATAACATTTATATCAAGAGGCAGTGTTGTATAGCACTGGACAAGGAGTCAAGATGACCTGGGTTTAAATTCCAGCTTTACTATGTGACATCAACAAGTTACTTTACCACTACATGCTTCAGGCAACTCTCTAGGAGAAAAAGCTGTCCACTTGTTGCCTCTGCTTCCTCTCCTTTCATTCACTTCTCTGCTCTTTACAATCTGGCTTCCAATCTCATCTCTCAACTGAAACCACCCTCTCCACAGTTACCAATAGTTTCTTCATTGCCACACCTCTCCAAGTTACGACTGATGTCTTTCTTTGTTGCCAAATCGGATGTTCTTTTCATAGTCCTCATCCTTCTCTATGTGCCATTTGCCACTGTTCTTCTAACTATCTCTTCCTTGTTACTTTCTCCTCATTAGGATTTCTCCATTGGTTCTTCACTGTTTTTTATTAGTTCTACTCCTACCTGCCTGACCACTCTTTCTAAGTCTCCTCTGCTGTATCACCACCATCATGTCCACAACTGTGGCTATGTCTGCCCCCTGCTCTTCTCTTTACACTCTCTTTACACTTTACACATCAGCTTGACTGACTGCTAGATACATAGACATCCATCCCTAGTCCCTCTTCTGAGCTCCAATCCCACATCACCAACAACCTATTGGACATTCTGAACCAGATCTTCTGTAGCATTTTAGACCTGACTCATCTAAAACAGAACTCATCATCTCTCCCCACCCCTCCTTCACACCTCTTTGTTCCTGGTAACCACCGGTACCCCCATTCTTCCAGCCACTTGGCAACCTCATCATCCTTGACTCCTTACTCTCACTCACCCCATTTAGCCAATCACTTGCCATCTCTGGTCATTTCTGCTTCTACAACTTCTTTTTGGAGTGTTTCCTTCTCTCCATTCACAGTTATCACTTTAGTTCAAGCCCTTACCACTTCTCAGCTGGATTATTACACTAACCTACCAATCAATCCCCCACTTCAAGTTTTCCCTCATTCTCATTCTTCAAATAATTAACAAATGATTTTCCTAAACTTCGTTTCTGATCAATCACTCCTCTCCTCAATAAACTCCAGTAAAAAAGCTAGTTTGACTGATTGTAGACTATATAAGGGGGAGTTGTGTGTAATAAAGCTGGAAAGGTAGACAGGGAACAGATTGTGAAGGGCTTTAAATTCCAAACAGAGGAGATTATATTTGATCCCAGAAGTAATAGGGAGCTACTAGAGTTTATATTTTGTGTATATTTGTATGTGTGCAAGTTGTCTTTCCCATAGAACATATGTACCTTGAGAACAGTGCCTTCTGCATTTTTGTCTTAGTATCCTTAGCACCTAGTGCAGAAGTTGGCACATAGTAGGCAATTAAAAATGCTGATTGATTGATTGAGCTGACCTGGGAGTCAGAAAGACCTGGGTTGAAGTCCAGCCTGCAACAGCTACTGGTTGTATGACCCTGGACAAGTCACTTACCTTTTCCATTCCCCAGGCTAGTAAGCCTACAAGTTGCAGGAGAATTGCTGATGTGTATTAGTTAAGGAAGTTTCTTCATCAGAAGTTCCTTCACCAGAAGTTCTCAAAATGAGGTTGGTGAAGCCCGGGTCAAAGCCTCTGTGTACCTCAGGTAGTTTCTAGGAGAAAAAGCTGCCCTTATTCCTTGCCTCTGCTTCTTCCCTCTTCTTTCACTCACTTCTCAGCTCTTTACAGTCTGGTTTCCAATCTTGGCACTCAGCTGAAACCGCCCTCTTCATAGTTACCGATGATGTCTTCATTGCCACATATCTCTCCAAGTTACTATGAATATCTTTCTTCATTGCCAAATCTTGTGTTCTTTTCTCAGTCTTCATTCTTCTTGCAGTATTTGACACCGACCTTCTCCTTTCAGGGGGTCTTGAAGGTCAAAATTCTTTTCATAATAAAAATGGCTTCAATGTCTAATACAGTAAATATTGATAGATATAATACCCCCACCCCCAAACCAAAAGTTCTTGAGGGAGGCCCTCAATAATTCTTAAGAATATAAAGGGGTCCTGAGACCCAAAAGTTTAAGAACTGCTGGCCTACACCAATCAAATCATAGGTCCAGACCTGACCCCCTCTTCCACTCCCTCCATTACTCATATTTTCCCCTGTAGTCCCCTACAAACTGTCTATATCTCTTCTCTCCTGCCTGATTCATATCAATTCTTCTGCTTTTCACATTACATCTGATGATTTGGTTCAGTTTCCTTTTCCTTCCTCTTTCTCTTTTTTCATTAAAACAAATGTGTTAATTAATTGCAGGAGGTGCCTTTCCAAGAAATTCACTAACCCAAGGTCAGTGTTTGTGGTAACATTAGAAAGCTCCATTTTCTTTGCATCTAGGTCTGAGGATCTCTTAGCTGGTGTTAGGGCTACCCCTTTCCCATAGGTTTGTCTTGAAAAATCAGTCACAGAATTTCAAAGTTGGAAGGGACTTTGGCAGAACCCCAATCAGTCAATCAACCAACAGGCATTTATTAAGCACCTACTATATCCCAGTCACTGTTCTAAGCACCACAGATACAAGTTCAAGGAAGGAACACTACAGCCTCTTAAGGTAGCTCATTCTGCTTGTGGACAGTTCTTTTTTAATTGAATGTTATTTTCAGGTATGAATTCTCTCCCTCCCATCTCTCCTCTTCTTCTGCTATGCTCCCCACCCCACCTCCCTTTATGAAAGGAAGAAACACACCCATTACAAACCTGCATAATCGAGCAAAACAAATTCTTGTGTTAGCTATAATAGACAATTCTAATGGTTAGAGGTTTTCCTGACCTCCCATCTAAATTTGTCTCTGTTTCTAACACCCACGGTACTTAGCTCTGCTTGTGGCCAAGCAGAGCCAATCCTTCTATAGCACAGGCCTTTAAATACTACTAAATTATGATCTTAATGACCCCTGCAGTGGGACTCCAGTAATTCTCTCTTAGGGACTCTCTGGCCATTTCTGAATAGAAAAAATCAGGTAATCATAGGATTTAAAGCTAGAAGAAGGGGGTGGGGCAGAGAAGGGAATAAACATTTCTATAGC